TTCAGGGCCTGGGGCTTAGGGTTTAGGGCTTAGGGCTTAGGGCTTAGGGCTTAGGGCTTAGGGCTTAGGGCTTAGGGCTTAGGGCTTAGGGCTTAGGGCTTAGGGCTTAGGGATTGGAGTTGGTTGTGCTACTTCAGGGCTCAGCCCTAAGGCCCCAAACCCTAAACCCTCGGCATGGGCCGGGCCTTGGCCGCGAGGGTCATGGCCTCAGCAGTGCGATTCCGTGGAGGGGGTGGAGGGGGGGGTTAAGGTTTCGTTTGTGGGGGCTTAGGGTTTAGGGTTTAGGGTTTAGGGTTTAGGGTTTAGGGGTTAGGGGTTAGGGGTTAGGGGTTCAGGGCTGGGGCCTTTGGAGGAGACGAAGTCAAGAGGAGCTGCACGGTGCCACGCTTCAAGCAGCAGCCTGGAACGCCAGCAAACCCGCCAAAACCGCCCCAACCCCACAGCACAACACCCCTCTGAGTCCCCTGCGTTCCGCTGTGGCGTTAGCAGTCCCACCACCAAGGGTCCACCAACCTTGGGTTTAGGGTTTAGTCCCGCAACCCTAAACCCTCAGCCCTAAATTGCCGCCCCCTCAAAGCCACAGGATGCGATATGCCCCCAAAGGTCGATACTCACATCGCCTCGCGGCTAGATCACCTCTCCAGCCTGAAACCCTAGCGCCCTTGGGGATCCTGGGATCTATATTGGGGGTCCCCTATTTCGAAAACCCCCAGTTTCGCTCCTCCATGAAAGCTTCTCTGTAAAGCTTGGCTACATCGGCTTGCTCCGGCGGGGCAGGAATCCCGAGCGAGTCGCCTTTGACATAAGGCATCACAAGAGTCAAAGATCATGGAAGATCACGAAACCCTGCAGCCTCAACCCTAAAAACCCTAAACCAAAGACCCCCCAACCCGGGCCATGAATCCAAAAGTCCCGAGCTTAGCCAACCCCTCCTCCCTCGTGGCGCCCGAGGCCCGCGCCACGCCGGACAAAAGTTCTGCATTCCTTGGGTATTTTTTGGGTGTATGGGTCCTAGAGGGCTCGGAAGGCTTACAGTAGACGGTCAAGCGTTGGGGGTTGGGGGGGAGAGAGATCTAAGAGGGGCTGATACTTCGGGGAGGCCTCAACCATAACAGAGACCCCCCCCTCAAAAAAGGACCTATAGGGTTTAGGGTTTAGGGTTTAGGGTTTGAGGTTAGGGTTTGGGGTTCGGGTCTAGGGTTTAGGGCTTTAGGAGCCGATGAGGTACTACCAGCCCAGGGCCGCTTGATACTTCCCATCTTGATCATAGGGTTTAGGGTTTAGGGTTTAGGGTTTAATGTTTAGGGTTTAGGGTTTAGGGTTTAGGGTTTAGGGTTTAGGGTCGAGGGCGCAGGGCCCTATTGCGGCGACCTGGCCCGAGCGCCCCGGCTTGAAAAGATGTTGCGTGAGCCACTTTTGCCAGTCGGGACTGACCTGGGCCAAGCCACGACCCCGAGACCCCGAATTTGACCCTTTTAGCCTCTAAAGCCCACCCTAAACCCTAAACCCTAAACCCTGAACCCTAAACCCTAAACCCTAAACCCCAAACCCCCCGCACTCGAGACCCAACAAAACCACCAGACTCTGAACTCGAGGCTGGGCCCTGCAAGAAGAGGACTGCTGAGGCCTGGGGGTTCTGCAGCATCGGTTTAGGGTTTAGGGTTTAGGGTTTAGGGTTTAGGGTTTAGGGTTTAGGGTTTAGGGTTTAGGGTTTAGGGTTTAGGGTTTAGGGTTTAGGGTTTAGGGTTTAGGGCTGAGAGGGCTTGAGGTTGGGATGTTCCCCTTCTCCTAGCAGTCCTCAAAAGGGATTCAAAAAGGTTGCACTGTAATCCCTAGTAGGTCCCGTGGGAACATCCCAAGTCTGAGGGGCGAAACCCTAAACCCTACGCCCTAACCTTTGGCCCCAAGCCCCAGGCCCAAGCCGCAAAACCCCAAAAAATCCCAAAAAAAAAACCAATCCCCAAACCCCCAAAAAATAAGCATCTACCCAATTGAGCAGGGATTAAGGTTTAGGGTTTGGGGCTCAACCCGGAGGGTGACGGCTACAGTGTAGAGGTCTCCAGACCCAAGAAGAAGAAGAAGAAGAAGAAGAAGAAGAAGAAGAGGAAGCTGAAGAAGAAGGAAAAACAGAAAGCAATAACATGCCAGAGACAGGCGGCGATATCCCGGAAGCTTTTACAGCTCACACAAGGGAACCGCAATTTAGAGAGCCCGGAAGACATGCCCCAAACCGCTCTAACCACGGCGTCCCCTCCTAACCGAAAGCCACCCAAAGACCGGTCCTTCCCAGGGCTTTGGGGCTTTGGGGTTTAAGGTTTTCGGGCTTTTGGGGGTTTTGCGTTTTTGGGGTTTGGGGTCCAGGGCTTTCGGGGCTTAGGGTTGAAAGCTTAAGGGCTTGGCAGTTTCCAGGGTTTTCGGCGTCCCTCCGCCCTGGGCCCCCAACCCCTAAACTCTAAACCTCAACCCTAAACCCTACACCCTAAACCCAAACCCCAAACCCTAAGCCGATTCCCTCGGACCCTCCACCCGAGGCGTGGGCTGTCTTGGACCTGTGGGGGCCGGTGCATAGGTCAGGCGTCGGGGTCACCCTAAACCCCTACTAAACCCGACGAAACTCTCGCAAACCCTAAGCCGGATATAGACCCTTGTAAAGGCCCATGAACCCTTATAAACCCTTATAAAGCCTTATAAACCCTTATAAACTCTTATAAACCCTTGTAAAGGCCTAAAACCCTAGACTCTTAGAAAACTACACCCTTATCAACCCTATGACGAACACCCTTTGTAGACCTGAACTACACCCCAAGCCCCCAAAGATGTGATAGCCAGGGCTTTTCGAGAGTCTTTGAGGTTCGATAGGCTTTAAGTCTTTTGGCGGATTTAGGGTTTGGGGTGTGGGGCTTGAGGTTTAGGATTTGAGGGCTTGACCCGGTTTAGCCCTTTCAAACCCTTACACCCTAAACCCTAAACCCTAAACCCTAAACCCAATAAACCCTCAAGCCTTGCACCCCAATCCAACCCAAGGGGGCGATGCTAGGGAGGCCTGCACCCAATGAGTTTCGGGTTCAAAGTTCAGTTCAGGAAGAAGAAACCGAGCACCCTCCTAAGTGCGGCCCCCTTCACAAGGGCCTCAAGGGTTTAGGGTTTAGGGTTTAGGGCTTAGGGTTTAGGGTTTAGGGTTTAGGGTTTAGGGCTTAGGGTTTAGGGTTCTATACGGGGAGGTAGGTCATGGAGGTCTTTCTCTCCACTGACCTGGGGCTTCAGGGCTTGTTCGGGGCTTTTGGTTTGCTTAGGGTTGCCCTGAGATGCATTGAGCCGTGGAGATACGCACAGGGGGGGAAGGTGAGTTGCGGATATTCGGGTTTGGGGCTTAGGATCTAGGGTTTAGGGCAAGTTTGGGGGTTAGGGTTTAGGGTTTAGGGTGTAGGGCTTAGGGTTTAGGGTTTGGGGTTTGGGGTATGGGGTTTGGGGGTTAGGGTTTAGGGCTTAGGGCTTCGGGTTAGGGTATGGGGTTTGGGGTCTGGGGCTCCCTGGACCCGAGACCCTCTGCGAGTTGAGTTCAGCATGGATACAAAGCCTCCTGGCAGGATGCCCTTGTAGAGGGTTTCGGGTTTAGGGTTTAGGGTTTGGGGTTTAGGGTTTAGGGTTTGGGGTTTAGGGTTCAGGGTTTAGGAAGACCCTAAACGAGGTAAAGGTACAGCACTGTATTCAGGGGCCAACTCACCCTGTCCACGGAGAGAGCTTGGGGATCTGGGTTCCTGGCTCTAAAGCCGAAACCCTAAACTCTTCACCCTAAACCCTAAACCCTAAACCCTAAACCCTAAACCCTAAACCAGGGGCCAGGGCTTAGAATCTTTCACAAAGGTCACTGCTCTTCTCGCAACATGGCATCAAAGTAGCTCACTGGACCTTTAGCTGAACCTTGCATGGGCTAGCTGAACCGCACTTCGGGTTTGGCGTTTAGGGTTTAGGGTTTAGGGTTTAGGCACCCAGAACTAGAAGCCCCCAACACTGTGTGCCAGCCAGGCGGCATGTCGGCACAGAGCGTCGGGCCGTTCGGCAGGCGTGGCTGAGCCTCCTGCATCAGGGCTGCTAAAACCTTAAACCCGAAACCCTGAACCCCAAACCCTAAACCCTAAACCCTAAACGCTAAACCCTAAACCCTAAACCCTAAACCCTAAACCCAAACCCCGAAACCCTAGACCCCTACGATTGGTTTAGGGTTGACGGGTCCTTTTACAAGGGATTCTACTGGGGGTATAGGGGCAATACCCCGTTTTGGGAAACTTCCACGTGAGGGGTATTGGGCTTTAGGGTTTGTGGTCTTAGGGTTTAGGGCTTTAGGGTTTAGGGGCCCAGGGTTGAACAGCATCCCGCCTCGACCAGCATTTTGGGTGTATACGTGCAGAGAAAGAACCTGCGCAATGCCTTCAAGCACACTCGTATGTTCAGTTCATTCAGCTGCTTCAATTTGCGAGCACTTCACCTAGAGAAGTGTGCCAGACATGTCCTGTTGTTGGAAGGCAGAAGTATTGCTCTGCATGACCCTGCATCGAACTGCTGCACTATCCAAACGCTGAGCCCAAATTGCTGAAAGGGAACTTTCGAGCATGTCTTCACGCGGTTTCCCGAATCTTTAAGCCCACATGGCAGGTAAACCACCAAAACAACCACACCATACATAAAAACAGGTCAGCCGAAGGGAGATTTTCAAAATGGTCTTCACGGGCAGGTATACTCTTGCAAGGACACTGTACCAAACCACTATTCTTCTGGCGAGACTGCCCCAGAAGCCCACAAGCCTGACATCCGCGCCAGGGTAACAGCTCTTTTTTCTGTTTATGGCAACTGCAGAAATCGAGGGTCCTTGGGCCAATCTCGTCTGCGTGAAACTGGTGGAACACCTGGAATCCGCACCGTGACATGATGAGAAGCATCGGCTTTCCCCCTTCCCTGACATGACCGTCACCTCCAAAGCTTCATCTCCTGGCATTAGAACCTCAAATCATCCTCATCTTTGCACCCACCAAGCACCTGAGAAAGACGTAGGCGACAGCTTGAGCAGCACAAATGGCAATAGTGACCTCAATTCTTTCCGAGGCGGCCATGATATCAGACTGGAGCAGCCACCCATAGGTACCGAGCATGAGCACAGACCAAACCAGCACAGTCTTTCCGTAATCACACATTCCTGCTGCAGGGCGTGCCAAATAGTCACACAGGAAGAAGGTATAGCTCATACCGTTTATGCCTGTCAAAGGGTCTGCAACGACAAGCGCCAGAAATCGTCGGAACTGATAAAGACCTGACGAGACTGAAGATGTGTTTCTATAGTTGGTCACCCAAATATCCACTTGGTTTGCAAACAACGTCGTCATCGCCATAAGCCAATACACAGCTGGAAAGTCTGATCTCCGAAACGGATGGACAAGTTCGTCGTAGAGCGTGCCTCGCACATATTGCTCGAATGCCTCCTCGCTTCCATACCACTCACGAATGCCAGCATAGATGAAATCTCTGTCGCTCTTGAGGCGGCAGCTCACCTTTGCCAATTCAAATCTTCTGATATTCTCAATGAGATGGCGTTTCTCGTGGCAGAGCCGGCGCAAGCCATGAAGCAGCAGGGCATAGGGAATCGAAATAGAGACACGTGCTAGAACCCACCAGCCATCCACATCCCAGGCTTCGTCCTCTGCATACCTAACTCTCGCTTCTTCGACCAGAACGACAATATAGTTCGCAAGGATCACATAAAGCAGGCCGACCTCCAAGTAGAGGGGCTTCAGCACAGTACGTCCTGATGAATTCGCCTTCCGGAACGCAGCAAGCTCGAAGATGCACCAAAGCCTGTAGTAGTAGTTGCTGGTGCGGTAGAGGTTCGCCCTGACGAGGCGCTCTTGCCGCACTGCTGGCACCGGTCCTTAGGAGTCCGTGTCATGGCGCGCGCGAAGCACGCCCCTCCGAACTTCAGCTGCGTGAAGTACCACTTGAAGGTTCTCCTTTTTTGCCTTAGCCTGTGATGGCCACACAAGCCAAAGCTGCAAAGGGTCAAGGGCGCCGCAAGCGGGCCTTGTCTGACTAAAGTACTCACACACCCACATCACGTGCTCGAAGTCCGGCGCCTCCTGAGACCCGCAGAAGGGGCAGGGGATCATAGCAGCCTGCGGACTGGACATTACGTGGAATGCCGCTGGGGACACCATGTGTCCCACCATGACCGCCTGAGCATGAGACTTCAGTTCGCAGGGGAGCTGGTTCAAGATACTAACAGCCATCTTAAACCTGCCACGCACCTGGGGCCAAGACAGAGCGGCCAGCGGCCTGGCCCGGTTAGAGCCCTGCGCCAGCCACGTGACCCAGCACCGAGCCCTCCAAGCGTCACGCAAGGCGTGGTTGATGGCATCTTTGTTTTGCTCCCTTAGCCGAATGCCTCTCTCCTGCCGGCCTAAGTGGACATCACTAGAGAACAAAGTGGCCTGAGTAACTGGGTGCGTCCACCGAAAGACCCCAGCCTCGCTCCACCCATGCCTCTGCATCCACCTCCTAGCCAAACCCACGGGCCCGTAGGAACGGCCTTGATGCCAAGCAGCCCGCAACACAGGCAGATGACTCTGAACCAAAACCTGGACCGAAGCAACATGCCCATGACGGAACTTGAGACAGCCAAACTCCCTCCTCTGGCATGCCCAGACGAGCGAACAGCTCGATTGATAGTAGACTGAACCCCCTCAAGAGCCCTAAGAGCCTCCAGCCTCACGTACGTGGGAGCCGCAGCCTTAGCCACCGCAGTCTGTTTGAGGAAGTAGGCCTTTCGGGCCTGGTCGCAGGGCAGGTGACTACCCCAGGCTGCCATCTTCTTGGCTTCAACGAGCCGGTCACGCTCTTCTCCTTGTGGCTTGCTGTGCGCCCTGTTCGTGTGCACGCGAGAGCCCAGGAGGCGCGGGCGAAGCTTGACTTCCCCCACCTGCTCGCGACGGCGCAGCTCGGTTTGCATGCGCCGGCGCGCCTGAGCCGAACCCACAACGCCGAAATCCGCTTTGGATTTGTTCTCCCCCAAACCCCAAACCGATACTTCTTGAAGCCACGTTCGGCCGACGTCCAGACAAGTCTTGCGCTTTGCGCAATACCAGCTTCTGTCGTCAAGAAACAACCTGAACAAAGAGCGCCCATGTCTTCTTTCAGCGAAGATACTCTGGATGCGCCGAAGGGACTCCACGAGAGGAGCTGTCAAGGCAGCCGGGGACGCCGGGTCGCCTTGCGGCAAGGCCATGACCTCAGTCACCGCACCCTGGCTGCAGAAGGCCGCCAGTTGGAGCACCCGCTCTTGGGAGGTCCATGCTCGGTGCCAAGCATCGCACAGAGGTTGCGGCACTCCTAAGCGCCTTAGTGCGCCGACCGAGAGGGCCCCGTGCATCGTATCGAAGGCCTTAGATAAGTCAGAGGAGCCGAGATAGCGGAGACTCCCTTGAGAAGACCACTGAGCGGCCTCGATCTCTGCGAGCGGCTCAAGTAAGGCGGTGTGAACCCCCCTACCTGGCAAGGCTCCGTGCACTTGGTCTGGGAACCTACGCCGAAGCCAAGGCCCGAGCTGTCGAATCCGAGTGGCCGACCACGTCCGATAGACGGCTGAACCGATGCTGATGGGTCGCAGGCTTCCCAACTCGCCGGCAGGCTTGTTTGGTTTACTAAGGTGGACTTGTCGCCATTGCCTGAGGGCTCTGGGCCAGCTACTCCCCTGTTCAACCTTGTTAAGGAAAGCCGCGAGCAGGTCCAAGGCTGGCGCCGGCCAACTCCACAGCTCTTCCGGCCTCCAACCCTCTGGGCCCGCAGCCTTGCCCTTTTGCCGTGACAAGGTGCGCTTAAGGTCGCTGCCTGAGAGAGGCGGCATGCCAGGGTGCCGGACCTGGTCCCCTAGCCCAAACTCGTGGTACAAGTTCTCAACAACCTCTAGTTTGTCAGCCAGGTCCTCGCTGCCGGGCCAATGCCGACGCCAGAAAGCTTCGACAGTTTGCATGGTTGCCACGGGCGTCATGACTTGCCCGCTGGAGTCCTTGAGCCCGCACGTAACCTCGGTCTTTTTGGCCTTAGCGAGCCACCGCCAGACCGGACCGTCCTCCTGTTGCATCTTCTGCTTCCACTCCCGAAGACGCTTGTCTCGTTGAGCAGTTTCCAGTCTACGAAGTTCGTTCTCAAGCCACAGTCGAAAGTCCGAGAGAGAGCCAGGCTCGAGAGGGGAGGAAGGGCACTCGAAGAAGGCAGCTTCCCTAAGCACACTGCGAGACAGGGCAGGCTCGGGGTGCCGGTGGTACTGCTCAACACGCCGTCCGAAACGACGCAGCCTAGCAGTACGGACTGTCGGGACCCCCTGAGGGCTTGGCCTGTGGTGTCGCACATCCGGGGTTACAGCAGCAACTTGACCTTTGTAGTTCTTGGTCGTGAAGCGACGCTGGGCTCCGAGCTCCCTAAGAGCTTCGCGCATCACGTCCTCTACAGCCTTGGAAAGCTGTTCCCACTCGCTCAAATTGGTGCTACAGCGTTCCTGAGCCGACCTGTTCCACAAGCGGTCGATGACCTCATCCCACTGCTTCTGAGACACATTGTCGGGTTTACGCAGATCCGAAGTTTGCCTGAGCTTGAAGTTCGGAAGCCCCCCCGTCGAGAGACCCGCGATATTCCATTCCAACAGCTTGTGGTCTGACCACTTGTCGAGCAGGAGCTTAACTGAGGCTTGAACGTTGCTTCTCACCGCCCAGTCGATGCAGCGATTCGAGGCCCACCGAGTCGGGGCGGGGAGAGGTTCTTGAGGCTCGTCGCCCTCAGCAGGGTTGGGCAGGGTGGGGTAGTGCACCATACCTCTGGTCCCAGCCGCCTGCACATTGAGCGGGTCGGTAAGAGGATCATGATTCCAGTCTCCGAAAGTCATGGTAGCCGTCTTGCCCAAACTCGCCAAGTCAGCGCAAAGAGACTCGTTGTAGTCTGCCAGTTCTTCGTAGCTGAGCTGTCTTCGGTAGGCCGATGTCACATGAAGCCCCGGGAGAGCCACGCGCAGCCACTGGCCCGCACCGCTACAGTGCGACGCTCCTTTGACAGCAGGGATGCCTCTTCGGACCGCCACAGCCACTCCGCCTTCGGTAGTAGCCCGCTGCTCCGGAGGCTCTTCTTGTTGATGAAACAACGTCCATCGCTGGAGACTGTTGTTGACCCGCGCGGCCTCTTCGCACGTCATGCGAGTTTCCTGCATAACAACGATGTCCACCCTGTTGGCTTCCGCAGCGGCCAGCAAGTCCCACCCTCTAAGAGCGAACGAAGCCACATTGAGCTGCCAAACGAGCAAGATCGGAAGGGCTCGCTTTGCTTTTCTGCGCCGCCGAGCCTCCCTTTGGGGCCCCGGTTGACGCTCAACTCCTTCCTCGGTAAGGTCACGTTGCCATGACGAGTCCGGTCCGTTCTGAGGGGGGGACTCAGCGACCCCAGCGTTGGCAGCGCCCACAGCAGCGGCAGGCCGCTTGCGGATGCCACCTCCGCGACTGGAGGTTTTCAGATTCAAGCGGGGCATCTGCAACGAAGCGTTGAGCTTGCCAGGAAGAGAAGCGGGCTCAGCAGTGTACCCCTCATCCTTTCGCCACTGGGCCTTTCTAGCGGCAGCCCTACGCCTAGTTGCCTCAGACTGGACATCTTTGCGAGGACGAGCGTTCTGAACCACCCTGGTGGCTTGCTCCGTGAACTCCGCAACTTTCTGTTCGGACAAGTCACAGGCCTTGGCCAGGGCCTGCCTGTGAGGCCCCGCAAGGCCCAACCATTTTTCCAGCCCCACTCCTCGGGCTCGCAGGCCTTGTCCGTGATCTGTCGGGTGTTGCCCTTAACCAGGCACCGTCGACAAAACCATGTCTTTTTGATGCAAGGGAAAAGGCCCATGGACGTGGCGTGAGCGAGGTCGTGACGCTGCTGGTCCTTGAGCTGCTTGGCCCTGAGCAAGGCCTTCTTGGTGGCCTCCGCTCCCGACTTGAACTGCCGAGGGTTCTTTTCCCATTGGTCCTTCATTTTATCGGATTTCGAGCCACCCACTGCCGACAACCTGGTGTTGTGCACAAGCTTCATGTGCCGCTGTTTCTGGCTAAGGGCCTTGTCGTGCCCCGTCCACGTAAACACGGCCTTACATAAGGGGCACGGCCAGCTGACCGTAGAAATCCGATTCTTTCGGTGTCCAGACTTTTCTGAAAAAGTAAGAGGTTCGTGCCCCGTGTCCTCGTCTTCCCCCAAAGGGTGCTGCTTGCGTTTGAGGCGCCGGCGGGGGGGAACCTCTGGGGGCTCAAGGGAGGCTGCGGGGTCAAGCTGAGGCTTGGGCGCCTCTTGAGCAGCATGCCGCATGAAGGTGTGCAGAGACGGGGTTGAGGGCCCCTTAGACAGCGAAGGCTCAGGCGCGACCTCAGCTTTGCAGTTGCACTCAGAAGGAGAGTGAGCCTTGCAACCCGGGGAGCCTGAGGAGAAAGCCGAGCCAAACGAGGGTTTGCCTCGACCGGGGGAGTGGGGCCCAGTGGAAAAAGCCTCAACGCGACGACTTTTTCTGGGGCGTGACCCTTCTGACGCCTCAGGTCTGCTCTTTGAGGGTTTCGGGGAGGCCTGCAAGGGACCCTTGGCGACAGTGTAAACTGAGGGCGTGGCAGCGGAGAGGCTTCGAGAGTCTTCAGCACTCCCTGAGTGAGTAGCTCCCTGCCGCCTGTCCAAGCAGGACCTAAGCGAGTGCAGTGAGGGCGTAGCCACACTCACCTCACTACCCGGGCCCGCAGAGCCTTGGAGAAGCCTCCTATGGGGCACGGAAGTTTCTCTAAGCCAAGCAAGAGGAACCTCGCTTCCTTCCGGAGGGACCATGTACGTGTAGTGCTCATTCTCAAGCCTAAGCACTATGGGGGACTTGTCTTTTGCCATTTTAGGCATCCCATCCTTGGCCCAGTCCGGGGCCAAAGTGGTTCGCTGCCAGTTGGCCTGAGTGACAAGCCCAGCAGCGTCCATCTGCGGCTTTGACTTGTGCCAGATCACCACGACCTGACCGTACTTTTCTGCTGCAGCTTGGATCATGATACCGTCAATCCAAGCACGAGGGTGCGCCATGGAGCCTAAGTACATCTCCAAGTCCTCAGTATCCATGTCACCACCATCAACATCCGGTTGGAGGAAGGCAGCATAGCGATCGACATGCTTACGGATGTGCGACAAACACTGAGTTCGGATGGTAGCACCTTTACAGCGAGCTTGGTCGACCGCAACATCGTCAGGGAAAGGGGTGCCCTTGGCGTGGTGCATCGCGCCCGACAGACTACGGAAACCGCAGTCCCCGTCCCCGCCCAGGTCTCTGATCTTCCACCCGCTGCTCAGAGCATCAGTCATGGGATCAAAAACTGGAGCCAGAGGGGGGGCTTTGGAACTCTCAGTAGTGTCCTTTTCTCTACTGCGGCTCCGAGCCCGGTCGGAACCGATCTCCTGTGTGTCCTTGCCAGCCCGGGGCCCAGCGCCGGCACCTGTGGCGGCGTCCGGAGGAGCTCTGCCTCTGCGCTGCTCAGCAGGCCTAGCGCTCACTTCACTGAGCTTCGCACGGGGAGCACGCAACGGCACAGTTTCGCGCACCGAGGGGGGCTTCCCTTGAGCCTTTGTGACGTGTACAGTAATGCTGGGGTCCTCAGCATCGATGTATCTCCATGTAGAGGCTGGGTGAGGCGGCGTGCCTTTAACCAACCAGCTCTGGCCTCGTTTGTTCAAGACCTGAGGCTCGAGCCACTTTTGCTCAAGCAAAAAGGCGAGGAGGCCCTCCGCCTCCCAATCTTTTGGGGCCCGCACGTTCACGACAACGGCTCTGACTTCCTCAGCTTCGCCATCCTTCCTAACCACACCCAAGTCGTTGCCGCCTCCGCATCGGTACTTTAGGGAAGCACCGCGCGCGGATGCAAAGCTGGAGCAACGACTAAGATAGTCATCGGGCTCTTCATCCTCATGCTTGGGGGTCCATCCTATCCTCGCGGGAGTTTTTAGATCTTTGATCAGTGAAATGAAGATACCTCGGCGACCACTGTGAGGGGCCAGGGCCTGGGCAAGACTTTCACTGACTTTCAAGTGGCCAATCAGCTGATCCGACCCTTTGTGTTTTGTCCACTGCCAGTTGCCACCCGTGAGACTACTGGCCTGAGTGCTTGGTCCCTCAACCTTCCACTGTGCCATTTCCGACACGATGGCTTGAGGGGAATCCCACTGTCGGCTCTCCTTGCAACAGGCGCGGTAGTGGGACGGCGCCACGATCCGAATCAGGGCTTTGGCTGGAGCCTTGAACTTCGAAAGAGCGACTTTGGAGGCTGGCTTAAGCTTGGGAGCGTAACCCTCTTCCCCTAACACCAGAACTCCTACCTCTTCACAGGAAAAGCCAGCAGACAAAGGTCCCCGCCGGAGTGAGGCCCTGGCGAGGCAACAGCCTCTTGAGCCCCTCGCTTCTCCGGTCGCAAGGACCGTCAAAGGCTGCTTGCAGTCAAAGGCCAGCCACGTGTCCTGAAGTTCCAGCAGTTCCTGAGTGCTTTGGACTGCCGTACAGTTACCTTCAAGCATGCGGCCGTCCTGAATCACCTCCAACACAGTTTTTCGATGAAGGAAAATCGGATTGTTGGTCCACTCACTTGAGTTAATCCCTAGAACCTGTCTGCCTTGCTGGCTGGGGGCACGAGAGACAGGAGCAGGACTAGGACTAGGTTTGTTGGGAGCAGGAGGCGTACCCCTTCCGCGGTCCTGGACGGCGTTAGGAGAAGAGCCCGTAACCACCACCTGCCTGTGCACGGTTTGGGGTTTTTCCGTGGCCCCCGTTTGCTTCGAGCTTTGCTTGTGTTTGGTCAAGGCGGACTTGACCTGTTGAAACGTAGCCTCGTCCGAGGCCTGACTTTGCTTACACTTCTTCAGCACCGAGAGCAGGACCTCGCACAGCGAAGGTTGTCGTTCGGGAGTGCCAGCCGGCCGGGGCGACTCCCTGGAGCGAGCCGGCTTTTTGGCCCATTTGTCCAAGAAGGAAGTAAGGGCATCCGCCAAGGAGTCCTCGTCAGGGTTGTCAGGAGCTCTGTCGTGGTCGTTGTTTGACCCGGTTTTTGGCTTGCGTCTGCCCCGCCCCCCTTTGAGCTGGTTAAGCAAAACGTCACGCACTGTGTCCTCAGAAGTCGCACCTACGGGCCGGGGCGGAAGTCCGAGGGACAAAAGAGACAAAACGGCACGACGTTGACGACGACGGAGCCTGACCTTGGCGAAACGGAGTTGGAGCTTCCTGACTGCCGAGCAAGACCGAGCAGGTGAGAGACGCCACAGCCCCCCTAGCCCCACAACGTTCCTGACTCCAGTCAGTCTCCGAGAGCCAACCCTGCGTGCCGGACGTGCAGGCCACCAAGCCCTCTGAAGCCAAAGCCTTCCCTCCGGACAACGTAAAGTAAACTGGAGCTTGCGGCGATTGCGCATGCGGCTACGAACAACAGGCTCGCATTCACTAACGCTGTCACAGACGTCACTGAGGGCACTGCCGGTTGTCACAGGCCTGAGTTCTGAGGCCTTGGACTGGAGGTGCTTCCACCGCACCCAGAAGCGGAAAACTTCCCAGAAAAGCTCCCCTAAGAGAACTAGCGTCAAAAGCAGGCCGTAAAGGCCACAACTGAAACTTGGCCCGAAGGCCGCGTGCGACTGAGGCAACACCAAAGGCTGAGCACACTGCCACCTCTGGTTCTGTGTCGTTAACAAGGAACTGTGGCGAGACTCAGGAATGGGTAAGCTCCACACCCGAGTCTCGGGAACGATCCGAGGCCACAAAAGCAGCGAACTGGCATTACTAAAAGTGGTTCCCCTAAGAAGTTTAGGCAAAACCTCAAAACAAAGACACGGCTTCTGCTCAACAAGAGTGCCAAGGTCCTTCCCAGGGGACCCAGCGTCTCCAGAGCCGAAGACAGCGCGAGGCGTCACGTCGGCAGCAGCCCATGAGAGCTGCTCAAAGCTAAAAGAGTGAACTACGGGGGCCCGCGTAGGGCCGGTCGTTGAACTTCCGTTGAAGTCCTCTCGTGGGTAAGCCCACAAGTTCGTCTTGGTAGGGCAAGCAGCGGCAGGGCAGAGCAAGCAGAGCAGGAGAACCCACCCCCACCTAACCAAACCACCCAACCCTTGCCCCTTGCCTTTGAAAGTGTGCTTGCATGGATGCGTGGTATCCACACATCCCGCTCCGAAGAGCGAATTTTGCATCTTGTGTAACTTCTTAGGCCTCCGCGGCTCTTTTTGGGGGTCTTCATTTTTCTTCTCTTCTGGGTCAGCACTGCAAGAACCTACCCATGGCCACCATGAGGAGGATGCAGCCCACGTACACCGCGGGGAGGTCCAGAATTGTACGCTGCACCAAAGCCTGTCTTCTTATTATTGCTCTTGCTCTTGCAGTTGCTGTTGCTGTTGCTGTTGCGGTTGCGTTTGCGGTTGCGGTTGCGGTTGACGGTGGCCGTTTGGCCGTTGCTGTGGCCGTTGCTGCGGCCGTTGCTGTTGCCGCTGCTGTGGCCGCTGCTGCTGCTGCTGCTGCTGCTGCTGCTGCTGCTGCTGCTGCTGCTGCTGCTGCTGCTGATGCTGATGATGATGATGATGATGATGATGATGATGATGATGATGTTGCTGATGATGTTGCTCATGATGTTGCTGATGTTGCTGCTGTTGCTGCTGTTATTGCTGTTGCCGCTGTTGCTGCTGTTGCCGCTCTTGCTGCTGTTGCTGCTGTTGCCGCTGTTGCTGCTGTTGCTGCTGTTGCTGCTGTTGCTGGCGTTGCGGCGTTGCTGTTGCTGTTGCTGTCACGGTGGTCGTTGTCAAAGTCGTTGTCGTTGTCGTTGCCGTTGCCGTTGTCGTTGTCGTTGTTGCTGTCGTCGTCGTTGTTGTCGTTGGTAACGTGCTCGTAACGGACCGCATGCTTTTCTTACTTGACATGTCGAAAACACTGGCAGGCGTGGCCAACCTCACCAGGGGCGGGGGTTTTGTTGCTGTTGATTGTTGGGGGGAATGCAACCTACCGAAACCGAAGCATGATAAGCAACAGCGTGATTAGCAGCCTAGTCGAAGGCCAACGTGAAAAGGTTGAAGCAGAACAGTGGCTGCACCAATGGCAAGCTGTGTTTCAACAGCGAGCTACAAGGCTCGCCTGGGGCTGTTTTGCAACTGCTGGCCTGGACAAGTAAGGCGGGCTCCACAAAATTCGCAACTCTGCGCTGGCGGCCAAGAAGCCTCCTAAGCCATAGATCCCACGCTGCATCAGCTGAGGGTCAACTTGATTGATACATACCACATCTAGAAAGCACATCTGGCTTCCGCAGAACTGTAGGTAAGGGGACACCAGAAGTCCCAGGACAGAGCCAAACAACCCGCCAAGTCTGGCTGACAAGTCGTGCCCGTAGACCCCACGATGTGCAAAGACCTCCAGCACTACACAAACTGCAGCACACAGGAACCACCCAAAGACAAAGTTGTAGCAGCCAGACTGTACCAGCAGCGACCGAACCTTTTGCGATCCCGGGGTATGCCACGTATGACTCAAAAAAATATCCAATTTTTCCACCTTGGCAGACCTCTTCCACAAGGCTGCACGAGCAGCGTTGTCTGGTAGCTCTATCGGTGACCTCCGCCAGAGCACACCGAAACCATGCAGAGACGACTTCAAAGTTATTCCTCGCAGCAGATCGCGGTCAAGCGTCAGATGGCCAGATGCCTCTGATGCATCTGCGGATGTCAACCGGCCTAAACGGGCCTCTCTCCAATTCAACCCTGCCTACTCGTGCCCACCTTCCTGCACCGGCTGCCCACCTTTCCCTTCGGTTCCGTCGGAGATGGGATCCGACTGCCATGATGTTGCACGTGTGGCATCTGCAACCACCTCTATGGCCGGGACACCAACTGAATCATAGCAGCAGCCACCGGGGGCAGCGTCTGCCGCCTTGCAGTCTGAGCAAGTGCCCAATCCTGTTCCCATGCAGATGGCTTTCACCCCCGCTGTCTTCGACACCGGGCGTGGCAACTCCTGAACATGATATCTGAGAATGGCTTGGACCACCCTGGCAACTCTGCATCCTCATTGCTTAGCTGCGAATCGCAGCTGAGACATCAAAACAGCATAGGTCAGCCAGAGGGCAGACCCTTAAGCCCTACACCCCAAACCTTAAACGATCAAAAGGGTCTTCTCGGGGACACCAAACTGCGATTCTGGCGCGACTGCACCAGAAGCGCAATAACCCAAAGCTCAGGGCACCACCACTAACTAAACCTGAACCCGAAAGTCCAACTCCCCGCCTCCGCCCCCAAGAACCTGCATCCTCAGCCCAGAAACCCAAGCCCCGAGCGCTACCCATAAAACCCTACATCCCACAGCCCTAAACCCCTAAAACCCTACACCCTAAACCCTAAATCCCTAAACCCTGAATCCCTAAAACCCTAGGAAAATCCAAGCCCGAACCCTCAGGATTTTGGGGCTTAGGGCTTAGGGCTTAGGGTTTAGGGTTTAGGGTTTAGGGTTTAGGGTTTAAGGTATAGGGTTGAGGGTGAAGCCTAAGACCTAAGCCCTAAAATCCTAGGCCCGATACCCGAAACCCTAACCCTCAACCCTAAACCCTTCGCTTCTTTTGTCCGTCCACTGCGCTTTTTTGGCACTTGTGCCCTGGACTCCGGTGACTTCGGGTTTGAGGTTTAGGGATTTAGGATTTAGGGTTTAGGGTTTAAGGTTTAGGGTTTAGGGCTTAGGGCTTAGGGCTTAGGGCTTAGGGTTTAGGGTTTAGGGTTTAGGGTTTAGGGTTTCAGGGGATTGGGGTTTAGGGTTTAGAGGCGTAGGGGTTTTGGGGCTTCGGGTTTCGGGAGTTTAGGGGTTCAGGGGATTAGGGTAGGAAGCATATCCCCGGGTAGGAGCCTGGGACGAGCCCGCTCACGGCGCCACAGGCCATGCGCCGTGAATCGCCAGACCTTCCAAGCACGTTGGTCTGCGGTTGTCCCTTCCCTAAACCCTACAGTACCTACATCCGAAACCCTAAACCCTAAAGTAATCAACCCCCCATTAGGGTTTAGGACCCTGGTACACCCCAAACCCTAAACCCTAAACCCTAACCCCTAAACCCTAAACCCGAAACCCTGTAGCACCCATGGACGCCAAATGCGGCTTTGAGGGCCCAAACGCATCTCAGATCGAGGCCTCTTGCCTGAGGGGTTTAGGGCCTCAGGGGTTTGGGGTTTATGCGAAGTATGGGACTTACTTAGGGTTTTGGGTCAGGGTTTAAAGTTTAGGGTTTAAGGTTTAGGGTTCAGGGTCTAGGGTTTGGGGTTTAGGGTTTGGGGTTTAGGGTTTAGGGTTCAGGATTTAGGGTTTAGGGTTCAGGGTTCAGGGTTTTAGGGTTTAGGGTAAAGGGTTTAGGGTGTAGGGTTTAGGGGTTAGGGTTTAGGGTTTAGGGTTTAGGGTTTAGGGTTTAGGGTGTAGGGTTTAGGGTGTAGGGTGTAGGGTTTAGGGTTTAGGGTTTTTTAGGGTTTAGGGTTTAGGGTTTAGGGTTAGGGTTAGGGTTTAGGGTTAGGGTTTAGGGTTTAGGGTTAGGGTTTAGGTTTAGGGTTTAGGGTTAGGGTTTAGGGTTTAGGGTTTAGGGTTTAGGGTTAGGGTTTAGGGTTTAGGGTTAGGGTTTAGGGTTTAGGGGGTTTAGGGTTTAGGGTTTAGGGTTTAGGGTTTAGGGTTTAGGGTTTAGGGTTTAGGGTTTAGGGTTTAGGGTTTAGGGTTTAGGGTTTAGGGTTTAGGGTTTAGGGTTTAGGGTTTAGAGCCCTGAGCCCTGAGCCCCTACAGAAGCGGTCTGAAGATTACAACCCTGAGGCATCCAACACAAGGTTGAGGGTTTAGGGTTAGGGTTTAGGGTTTAGGGTTTAGGGTTTAGGGTTTAGGGTTAGGGTTTCGGGTTTATGGTCGAATGTTAGGGTTCAGTTTAAGCAAACTTTTGCTGGCACCAAGCATGTCGGAGGTAGCCTGCACAAAAAACTCGACGCACAAGTACGAAAGAATCTTGGAATTCACCTGCCACAGCTCTCCCCAATGTCACTCCTTTGGAGCAAGAGTTATCGAGGGCCCGAGACTGCTCTGCACGCGCACCCCTCTACACCCTGCACCCTAAACCCTAAACCCCAAACCCGCCACCCGTTCAAGTTACCCTAAACCCTAAACCGCCGATCTCTGCCCCTTGCCACAGGGGAGGCGATCCTGTCTCTTCCTTTTCATTTACTCATCTACCATAGAGCCATGAAAAATGCCAATGACTCCCAGCATGGACTGGCCTCTACGAGCCAGCCAAAACACGGGGGAGGTCTCAGACCGACTGTGGGAATGGCGACCGAACTCGATGATGAAAAATTCCTCCCCATACTCGTGCAGCAAGTCTGTTGCTCTTTCCAGTCTCCTTTGCTCAAGGGCATCATATCCGTGATCATCATCCATGTCATGGAGGCAGAAAATGCTCTCGAATGTGTCCACCTGGTCGACGTCGATGACGTGCATCGCTTCGGACGTCAACCCGAAGGCTGACTTAAGCAGGTCATCGATTGCGCAATAACCTTCGGTAACGAAGACATAGCCTGCAAGGGCCGTAGCGGGATGCAGCATCTGAAGCTGACACCTCCAGCACCCTGCACTTAGCACATCCGGCCCCCTTGCTAGTAGGCAGACCCTCGGAACTCACAGGCTAAGCTTCAGCCCGCCCCGTGCCTTCAGCGTCACAGCACACGGGTATGCCATTGATGAGCTCTGCTATCTCCGTGGCGACATCCACCAGACGCTGCTCGAAGGACACCTGAAATCGATTGCGAGGTGGCTTTCAAACCCAAACCCCTGAGGATCATGAGCATCAGCTGGTGCTGGCCCGGGCTGTTCAGCCCAAACCCCCGAGCATCACGAGCATCAGCTGGTGCTGGCGGGGCTTTCCGGCACAAACCCGCGAGCATCATGAGCATCAGCTGGTGCTGGCCAGGGCTTTCAAGCCCACACACCCGAGCATCATGAGCATCAGCTGGTTCTGCCTGGGGTTTTCAGACCCAAACCCCCGAGCATCATGAGCATCAGCTGGTGCTGGCCGGGGCTTTCAGGCCCAAACACCACTCAGTGTGGTTTAGGGGCTAGAGTTAAGGGTTGGGTTTGAGGGGACCCATAAGCTCATAACAGCGTCTTTGAGGGGACCCATAAGCTCATAACAGCGTCTTGCCTTAGGTCTGGGGGCATGGGGCTTCGGGCTTCAACTTCGTGCTTTCGGTCTCAGGGGTGTGGGTTTCGGATTTTACAGGGCTTAGGGTTTCGCTGCAGTAGACAAGAAGCCTTGCCTCGTTCACACGGCGGAGAGTTCTAATCACACCAAGCAACGGCTGAAAGCCGTCATAGACTCGCCACGCAGGAGGAACAGGGAACGGCCACGTCGCTCGAAGATTGTCGTGCATCAGGGCTTCGAGGTCGCGCACGCTCTGAACACCCCACGCTGCATCAGCTCCTTCGGCGGGCACTAGGCACAAAGGTGCGATCGAGATAACTGCTGTCACGTGGCGCAACATGGATAGAGCCGCGTCGGAATCCACGTCCAAGTAGACGTCATCTGGGGTACATGGAATTTGCTGGCACACGTAGTTCGTGACGTCCGAAATCGAGTTGCTTAAGTGAGCCGGTGGTGGAGGAACGAGAGGCGCTCCGGAGAGTCCGAGAACCTGCAAGCGACGGCCTCGGCGCATATGAGACCCACCTTAGGGCTTAGGGCTTCGGGTTTCGGGTTTGGTGTTTTGGGTCTCGGGTTTAGGGTGCTCTTAAGGAACTTAAAACAAAGTTCTCACACGGTTTCCAGACTATGGTAGCTTAAAAATGCTGGCGGAGAGTGGGCTCATTTGGGGGTCGGGTTTAAGGGTTTGGGCTTTGGGGTTTGACGCTTAGGGTTTCGGGTTTAGGATTTAGGGTTTCGGGTGTGGGGGTTCAAGGGGGCTTCGCTGAGAATCTTTCATAAGGGCGCACGGCTAAAGGAGAGGGTCGTGCTGGGTCAACACGGAGTAGAACCAAAGTCCACCCCGTGGTCAGACATCTTAGGGTTTAGCGTTTAGGGTTGAGGGTTGAGGGTTGAGGGTTGAGGGTTGAGGGTTGAAGGGCTTAGGGACAAAATCAAGATTCCGCCGTCTCCACTGCCTCCGCCCTGCGAAGGTTCCCGAGCCATGGCAGGAGGATTGTGAAACTGAGCCAATGACGTCCGGGGGCCGATGTAGGTCGGGGCTGCAGGTGGGAGGCACTCGCCGGACTTCCGGGCTGGTTCGGGGAACATCTGCTCCCTGGCATTGCGCCCGGCCATTCCCTAAAGGGCTGGAGCCACAAGTGCACGTTTTGGGGAACAAAGTGTGTCAAGGCTGCCTGAGGTCGTCTGGCACTTTCAACCGTATGTAGGGAGGGTCTCGGGGGGTGTTGTGACTTTGAAACTTTCAACTTGGGAGTTCAGAGCTTGAGGTGCATCTGCCACGGCAGCCGGGCTAAACCCCAAAGCCCTGAGCCCGAAATCCGAAGGCCTTTGCTCAGAGGGCGCCATGTCCGGGAAGGAGCAGGCCGCCATTGACGTGGAGATGGCTGGGCATGCAGCTGTAGGCTACGAGGGGTAGGGAGGGTTCAGGTTTTAGATTGGCTTTAGGGTTTAGGGTTTAGGATTTTGGGGCTTACGGTTCTGGATGTGGGGTTTAGGGTTTAGGGTTTAGGGTTTAGGGTTTAGGGTTTAGGGTTTAGGGTTTAGGGTTTAGGGTTTAGGGTTTAGGGTTTAGGGTTTAGGGTTAGGTTTAGGGTTTAGGGTTTAGGGTTTAGGGTTTAGGGTTTAGGGTTTAGGGTTTAGGGTTTAGGGTTTAGGGTTTAGGGTTTAGGGTTTAGGGTTTAGGGGCTTGGGATTCTGGATGCCGAGACAGGCTTTGTCTCGATGCGTAGCACTTGGCAGCTCTTACCGGCACCTTGACGGGTTTCCAGCCACGCAATGATATTCAAAAAAGGTCACAGCCCTCCTACACCCTAAACCCTAAACCCTACACCCTAAACCCTAGAACTACACCCTAAACCCCAAACCCTACACCCTAAACCCTAGAGCGAGAGAGTTAGGGGACCAAAAGATGGATTCTCAACCCTAAAAAACCAAACCCTCCGACCTCCGACTGTCATCCAGACGTTTAGGTAGGGTTTAGGGTTTAAGGTTTAGGGTTACAGGATTGAGGGTTTCGGGTTTAGGGCTACAAGATTTATGGTTGAGAGTTTGGGGCTAGAGGATTTAGGGTTTAGGGTTCACGGTTGTCCCAGAGCCACCATCATATAAGAGGCCTTGAATTCTGCAACTTTCACCTCTAGACCTCCTAAAGCAACCTAGGGGTTCGGGGTTTAGAGTTTCGCGCTTGGGTTTTAGGGTTGAAAGGGTTTAGGGCTTTGGGTTTAGGGTTTAGGGTCTGAACCCTAAGCCGTACACCCGGGGCCTTCAACCCCTGAACACCTCCCCAAACCCAAGCCCCTGACCCATACCCACTATAGTACCCATTCTACATCTATTAACCCAACTCTAAACTCGAAACCTCAGGGAACCCCAGTAGCCTCTTCAGGGCCCTTGACCCCTGAAGCCCTGAACCCTAAACCCTGAACCCCAAACGGGAAGCCCCAAACCCCAAACCCCAAACCCTAAACCCCAAACACTAAACCCTAAAACCTTGGAGGCTCATCTCTCTTTCTCCCCCCTTAGGCGGTGTGAGGCGGGGCTGAGCCGTCGATGACGCCTGGGGTATGTTCTGCGCTATTTTTCAGCTGTTTAGGGTTTGGGGTTTGGGGTTTCGGGTTTAGGGTTTAGGGTTTGGGGTTTAGGGTTTAGGGTCTAGGGTTTGGGGTTTAGGTTGTAGGGTTTAGGGATGCGACTGGGGTTTCGGGTGCCTTGCACAGGCCTTCCGGGTGCAGGATGTCGAGTTTCTGGGGGGGGCTGAGGGTTTCAGCGCGCAGGCCTTGGGAGCTTGGAGTTGAGGGGAAGGGGGGCCAGGGCCAGGGATCTAGGGTTTAGGGTTTAGGGTTTAGGGTTTAGGGTTTAGGGTTTAGGGTTTAGGGTTTAGGGTTTAGGGTTTCAGGGCCTTAGGGGGGCTGAAGATGAGGCCTAGGGAGCACACGCGGGGGGTCATGAGTCTCATCTTAAGGCGACGAGTAGATGGACTCCCTTTTTTGAACGGGGGTGGGGGGGGGGGCCTTCTACTTGGAGGTTCATGGTACTTACTAACCAATTATAACTGTACTTATAACCCTACAAAAAATACCCCTAAAGGGCCTTATAGGGTTATCCCAATTGTAAGTAGGGTTATAAGCCCAGTTATAAGTGGTTAGTAAGTACCATGAACCTCCAAGTATGCCTGTCTATCTCATATGTATGTACATACATGTATACATAAATACATGCATATATGCATGCACATATACATCTACATTTTTCTCCTTATATACCTACACACACACAGGTATATATATATATATATATGTATGTACGTGTACATGTAGATCGATACGCGCTCCGAGTGCCTTCAAGGAGGGTTTTCTCGGATGCCCTGTGCTCAGTGTGCTCAGATCTCAGATCTCAGGACCCGACACATGACGCCACCGCAAAGGCCATGCTTGTCGAAGGCCGTTGGGTTCGCCTTCCTTGGTTAGCTGCTTGTTGTTCTGTTTTCCTTTTTTCTGGATTCGCAGTTAGCTGGTTTTAGGGGTTGAGGGCTTCAGGTATAGGGTTTAGGGTTTCAGGTCACAGGGTGTAGGGGTTCAGGGTGTCGATGATTCTAAGGTTTAAGGGTCTAGGATTTAGGCTTAGGGTTTTGTTAGGGTCTTGTAGGGTGTTTGGGCTTTCGGCATTAAACCTGAAAATTGGGCCCTTTTGCGAAGGGTACGGCTGCATCCGAATTCCCACAACGTTGAACGCAAGAGGTATTCTTTAAGCCTCTAGCTAGGGGTTAAGGGTTTAGGGCTTAGGGTTCAGGGTTTAGGGTTTAGGCTTTAGGGTTTAGGCACGACTCTGAAGTACCAAACCCACGGCAAACCAAGCTCTGTCAGTTCTCTGAACCAAGCCCTGTAAGTTCTCTGAACCCGATAACCCCAAAGCCCATCACAACCCCAAACCCTAATGAACGCTTAACCCTTAACCCTAAACCCTAAACCCGAAACCCAAACCCAAAGCAATCTCGCGACCGCGCCGCATCATCGACCACAACGCGATGAAGCTCAGTTGCACGGAGAAAGCACAGGACTGCAGGAGGCTGACCTGGGCGCCCGGTTTTGACAATGGTTTTAGGGTATAGGGTATAGGGTATAGGGTATAGGGTATAGGGTATAGGGTATAGGGTTTAGGGTTTAGGGTTTAGGGGGCCCAAGGGTTCTGGGCTATAGGATTCTCGGCGTTTAGGGTTTTAGGTTTTAGGGTTTAGGGTTAGGGTTTAGGGTTTAGGGTTAGGGTTTAGGGTTTCGGGTTTAGGGTTTAGGGTTTGGGGTTTAGGGTTTAGGGTTTAGGGTTTAGCGTTTAGGGTTTAGGGTTTAGGGTTTAGGGTTTAGGGTTTAGGGTTTAGGGTTTGGGGTTTAGGGTTTAGGGTTTAGGGTTTAGGGCTTAGGGCTTAGGGCTTAGGGTTTAGGGTTTAGGGTTTAGGGTTTAGGGTTTAGGGTTTAGGGTTTAGGGTTTAGGGTTTAGGGTTTGGGGGAATAATAGGTGCTGCGGAGCTCTAGAGTCGCGAAGCCTAAACCCCGGGTCCTTCTCTGAAAACCGGGACCCCGAAGAGAAGGACGGGCAATGGCGGCTACGACCTCCCCGGCAAGCTTCCACACTTTGGATCCCTAAACTTGAAACCCTCAACCCTAAACCCTAAACCCTAAACCCTAAACCCTAAACCCTAAACCCTAAACCCTAAACCCTAAACCCTAAACCCTAAACCCTAAACCCTAAACCCTAAACCCTACTTACTGCGGGCTCTGGAGCTTGGGGTCTGCTCCGGGTTTCGGGGCTTTTGGACTCATGGTTCCAAGCATCCTAAACCCTAAACCCTAAACCCGAAACCCGAAACCCTAAACCCTAAACCCGAAACCCTAAACCCTAAACCCTACCGCTAGCAGAGGCACGTCGTCGCCGAAGGCGAGGCTGCTGGCAACCACGATCAGCGCATCCTCCAAAGCAGGGTTTAGGTTTTAGGGTTTGGGGTTTAGGGTTCAGGGTTTAGGGTTCAGGGTTTATGGTTTAGAGTTTAGGCTTTAGGGTTTGGGGCTGAGGGCCTCTAGAAAATTGTCTAGGGTTTGTGTCTGGAGTTGTGCCTGAGTTATGGGGGGGTTCGCGGATTTTCGGACACGACCTGGCATGGGATGCCTCCACGTCGCAAAACTCACCCGTTTGGAGAACTCGGCTGTCTGCAGCTGCAGCTCCAAATTTCGCTGGGCTGCTGGGCTTGTCATGTCAGCACATCGTTCGGGCGGATTTCGCCTCCTATGCATTCCCACAATGTTCTCTCTCTATACCTACTGCTTCTGCTACAACTAGTTCACCCAGCGTTCCTGTTTCACATCGTTTGCTTCCTCAACCGCCTCCTGAAGAGAGAGACGTCAACCTCATTCTTCATCTTTTTGGGAGCTGGTCGGGACTCCCTAAACCCTAAACCCTAAACCCGAGACTCTCGGCTTCTTCTCTGGGCTTCCCTGGACCGCGTGGAGGGGCTGTATCCAGCACCTTCGGAGCCGTTTTGAAGCCTCCAAGCTTTTCGGGACCCATGGTCTTTCCCGGGGGGGCATTTGGGGGTGAAAACTTGGGCTTGCAACCTCCTGGAATGGGACGCATGAGCCACTGTACTCGAACCCCGGGAGGTGCTCATCGCCAAGTGACCCTCAAACCTACACCCTAAACCCTCAACCCTCAACCCTCAACCCTCAACACCCTAAACCCTAAACCCTAACCCTAAACCTCCATGCAAGTTTAGGGTTAGCATTTTCCATGCCCAAAGACCTCCGGCTTCGTGATTCCCTCAACTTGAGATGCTCTCCCTTATACTAACAGCCCTTAATAAGGAATATAGTAACCCCCCATTGTCTAGGGTTTAGGGTTTAGGGTTTAGGGTTTAGGGTGCTAGTATAAGGGGGAAGGTCCCAGCCCTCAACCCTAAACCCTCAAGCCTAGGCTGCCCAAACCTCAAACTCCGGAACCTGCGCCCGAGCCAGCCCCCACCGGCCTTCACAAGGTTCGTCAAGATGAAGGCGACAGGAGAACCGTTCTTCCTCAAGGGTTTAGGGTTTAGGGTTTAGGGTTTAGGGTTTAGGGTTTAGGGTTTAGGGTTTAGGGTTTAGGGTTTAGGGTTTAGGGTTTAGGGTTTAGGGTTTAGGGTTTAGGGCGGGTTTAGGGTTTAGGGTTTAGGGTTTAGGGTTTAGGGTTTAGGGTTTAGGGTTTAGGGTTTAGGGTTTAGGGTTTAGGGTTTAGGGTGAGGATATAAGTCGAGGGCTTTGGCCTGTTGTTAAAAAGAAACACACGAGCTCCCAGGGCAAGCGTCAGGTAGTTGGCGATGACCAAGTTCAGGAAGAAGGCACAGAGAACGTTGCCTGGTTTAGGGTTTAGGGTTTAGGGTGTAGGGTTTAGGGTTTAGGGTTTAGGGTTTAGGGTTCAGGGTCCCTCAACCCTGAACCCTCAATCCTGAACCCTAAACCCTAAACAATAAACCCTAAACCCCGAAACCCTAAACCCCTAAACCCTAACAATGAATGGCCACAGAGCGCCTGCCAGAAGCGCGCTGCAGCGGCGAAGGGTCTCGGCAGTCGGCAGCGCGACTAAGGCGAAACCGGCAACCTGAATCTTAGGGTTTAGGGTTTAGGGTTTAGGGTTTAGGGTTTAGGGTTCAGGGTTCAGGGTTCAGGGGGTAGGGTTTAGGGTTTAGGGTTTAGGGGTTTAGGGTTTAGGGTTTACTATAGGGAGGTTTACGGTTTAGGGTTCTCACACCGAACTTCAAACCCTAAACACTACCCACGCAGGCCCGCGCCGGACCACTACGCCCATCTGAACCCTAAACCCTAAACCCTAAACCCTAAACCCTAAACCCTAGACATCAAAACAAGCAGGGGACACCCTGCACTGCAAATCCTCAACCTCCCCTCACTCTGAACCCTAAACCCTAAACCCTAGACCCTAAACCCTAAACCCTAAACCCTACACCCTACACCCTCAAACCTCAACCTTGAGACTAAACACCCTGAAGCTCCCAACCCCCCAAGAACCGAAAACCCGACAGAACCCAAAATCCTAGAACCCGCGACAAGGCCCCCCAAAAACCTAAAACCCCCCGAAACCCTAAAACCTAGGGTTTAGGGTTTAGGATTTAGGGTTTAGGTTTTGGGTTTTGGGTTTTGGGTTTTGGGTTTTGGGTCTTGGGTTTAAGATGACAGCCCTAAAACCTAGAAACCTAAAAAACCCGAAGACCCTCCCAAAAAGGCATCGAGGAGCTTGCGGCTGGAGCAAGATGAGGCCTGATAAGGCCACGCAAGATCAGGCCCCGCGATAAGGAGGGCTAAGGGTTCAGCAGAAAAGGGTCTGGGTTATAGGTTTTCGGGTTTAGGGGGGTTGTAGGGTTTAGGGGTCACGCAAGAACAGGCCCCGAGATGAAGATGTGGGTTTCGGGTTCCAAGGTTCAGGTTTTAGGGTTTGGGGGTTATGGGGTTTAGGGTTGAGGGTTATAGGGTTAGAGGGTTCAGGGTTTAGGGTTAGAGGGTTCAGGGCTCCAAGGTTCAGAGTTTCGGGTTTAGGGCTATAGGGCTTAGGGTTTAGGGTTTAGGGTTCAGGGTTTAGGGTTTAGGGTTTAGGGTTTAGGGCTTAGGGCTGAGGGTTGAGGGCTGAGGGCTGAGGGCTGAGGGCTGAGGGCTGAGGGCTGAGGGTTCAGGGTTGAGGGTTCAGGGTTGAGGGTTCAGGGTTGAGGGTTCAGGGTTGAGGGTTTGGGGGGGTTATAGGGTGTAGGGTTCAGCCGCTCCAGTCATGGACCTCTTGAGTCGAGCTGTTGGTATCGACACAGAAAACAACAGGCTTATTTAATTCACTCTATGCGTTCGCCAAACCCCTCACCCCCTCTGCCCATCAGCATAACCATGTCGCGCCCATGGGTTGCCCCCCAGCTATCAGCGCAACTAAGTAGTGTCCATCCTCCCCCGCCCCTCCCCTTCCACGCCCGCAAAGGGTCGTTCTGGTGCCCACAAAGGGGTGTGCCTGTGCCTACGAACTTGTGTGCCTGAGTCCACGATTCTGATCCATTTTTCTGCAGAATAGAAAAATGAGTAGGCATGGCGGTGCACACGAATTTGTGTGCCTGCCGGCGGCTGTTGTAAAGGTTTTGAACCATATGAAAAAATGGCTCAGGGTTAGGATTTAGGGGTTTAGGTCCCGGAAGCGCACAGAGTGTCACACAGGAGAAAATACGATCCCCCCGTTTTCATTGGGGGCGCTAGGCACCCTAAACCTAAAACCCTAAACCCTGGAGATAGGGTTCAAGGTTGCCAGGGCCGACTCTGTTTGGCTTTGATCGCCAGACTCACAGGTAGTGGCCAAAAAAAATAGAAAATGTTCGGGTTGAGTTGGCTGGGATGTCCCAAAATCCGAAAACCCCCAAAACTAAGAAACTCGAAGCCCGAAACCTATTTGAAGTTTACGAAAATAGGGGACCCCTAAAATAGCCCCCCACATAGTAGGATCCCCTTATAAGGACCCCAATACGGTACCCCTAAACCCTAAACCCTAAACCCTAAACACCATGGAAGCCCCCATACATATCGTAACCCCCATTTCTCTCCAGCCTCCTACGAAGGCGCCACAAAGCGGCGACACCACGGCCACGAAGGACATGGGGTCCAGCCGCACCGCGCCTTTGGGGGCAAGGAACCGCCACAGAAATCCCGGAAGACTTCGCCAACTTCAGGTTAGGGTCTTTTCACAATCCCAATGACCAGGGTTTAGGGTTTAGGGTTTAGGGTTTAGGGTTTAGGGTTTAGGGTTTAGGGTTTAGGGTTTAGGGTTTAGGGTTTAGGGTTTAGGGTTTAGGGTTTAGGGTTTAGGGTTTAGGGTTTAGGGTTTAGGGTTTAGGGTTTAGGTATTTCTAAGGGTAAGAGCGGGTGTCGGGAAGGGTTTGTAAAGCTAGGTTGGCCCTTTGGATGTTTCATAATTCTCCCCTATTGTTATGGCTTCTTTATTTCAGGGGGTGTTTAATATGGGTTCTGAGGTTCTGGGGTGGGGTTCTGGCGTTCTGGGTTTCTGGCGTTCTGGGGTTCTGGGGTTCTGGGGTTCTGGGATTCTGGGGTTCTGGGGCTGGGGCTTGGGGCTCAGGCTTGCCCCTTACCCCCAGGTAGCCCAGCACCACACCAGACTCAGCCCCCCGCCAGAAAGCAGAACTCCTGCGCCGACAGCACATGGGGACGTTGGACTTCTGGGTGCCTATAAATGTATGAGCCTTTGGGGCACCCTAAACCGCTGAACCTCTTCTTCTTCTTCTTATTCTTCTTCTTCTTCTTCTTCTTCTTCTTCTTCTTCTTCTTCTTCTTCTTCTTCTTCTTCTTCTTCTTCTTCTTCTTCTTCTTCTTCTTCTTCTTCTTCTTCTTCTTCTTCTTCTTCTTCTTCTTCTTCTTCTTCTTCTTCTTCTTCTTCTTATTCTTCTTCTTCTTCTTATTCTTCTTCTTCTTATTATTCTTCTTCTTCTTCTTCTTCTTCTTCTTCTTCTTCTTCTTCTTCTTCTTCTTCTTCTTCTTCTTCTTCTTCTTCTTCTTCTTCTTCTTCTTCTTCTTCTTCTTCTTCTTCTTCTTCTTCTTCTTCTTCTTCTTCTTCTTCTTCTTCTTCTTCTTCTTCTCCTTCCTCTTCGGGGCTTGGGGACAGGGCAGGAGTCCCGCTCTCTCTCTTGCTCTCTTGCTCTCTTGCGCTCTTCAGGGCTTAGGGTCGATGATCAGACCATCTGTCCCTCTCACGAAAGAAACCCTCAAACCCCCGCAGCCCCTCTTCCTGACATCCCAAGCAGCTTAAAACCCAAAGGCCCTGTAAAACCCCAAGCCACCCCCACCCTGCTCATCCCCAACAACACCCTGAAACCCATCCTTGCATCACGATCTTCGACGACTCCGCAAAATTGCACAGCAGCTGCATAGTGAGCCTACGAGGGGCAGAACTCAGGGCCTCAGGGGGTCGAGGCTTTAGAGCTTCTGAAGTTTCAGGGCTTCAGGGGTTCTAGGGTCTGAGGGGCTCAGGGGTTCTGGGGGCTGAGGGGCTCAAGGGGACAGCAGCTGAGGGTAGGGCTTGGGGCTTTGGGGGCATAGGTCTCAGGGATTGGGGTTCCACTGAAAGAGGAACACCAGCCTCCTCGCAACCGATGAAAACCTCAAGCCGCGGCAGTAGCCGTAAAAGGCTCTTTTCGTGTGCTTAGAGAATTCAGGTTAAGGGTTAAGGGTTAAGGGTTCAGGGTTCAGGGTTTAGGGTTTAGGGTTTAGGGTTTAGGGTTTAGGGTTCCGCGTTCAGGGTTTTGGGTTTAGGGTTCAGGGTTTAGGGTTTAGGGTCCAGGGTTTAGGGTTTAGGATTTAGGGTTTCGGGTTTCCAGGCTTCATTACACAATTCCCGGCCCTGTCAGCGAGAAGTTGACTTCGCCGTGAACGGTAAGGCTCGTTGCAATCATAACCTCAGTGGCGCTGCGGCGTGGCTATGGAAGAAACCCGAGCCCTAATTCGGGTTCAGGGTTTTAGGGTTTAGGGTTTGGGGTTTGGGTTTGGGGTTTGGAGTTTAGGGTTTCGGGTTTAAGGCTTCGGATTTGGGGTTTGGGTTTAGGGTTTAGGGTTTTAGGGTTTGAGGGTTTAGGGTTTAGGGTTTGGGGTTAGGGGTTAGGGGTTTAGGGTTTGGCGTTTCGGGCTTCGGGCTTAGGGTTTAGGGTTTAGGGTTTAGGAAGCTCTTAAGGGTTTGGGGTTTGGGTTTGGGGTTTGAGGTTTGGCGTTTGGGGTTTGGGGTTTGGGGTTTGGGGTTTTGGGTTCTTGGGGTTTGGGGTTTTGGGGTCTTGGGGTTTGGGGGGTTTGGGGTTTGGGGGGGTTTGGGGGGGGTTTGGGGTTTGGGGTTTGGGGTTTGGGGTTTGGGGTTTGGGGTTTGGGGTTTGGGGTTTGGGGTTTGGGTTTTGCTCTGGCGCACTTCAGAAGGTACTGTTGACAGGTGTCTGCATAAACCCCAAACCTTACACTTCTAAACCCTGAACCCTCACATTTTGATGTATATTTACAAGCATCTTAAGAAATACACAAATGAGTATATAAATAAAATGTTAGCAAGAAACATAAACATGGTTTAAACAAACAAGGTCATTTTCAGTCATCCTTACAGTTTAAACTGCCAAGCCACACCCACAAGCACCAGCACCATCCGCGCGCGGAACCTCGGAAGCTAGAGGACCTCTCAAGTTTCCGAGCTTGGGGGTTGGAGATTCGGAGAAGCTCGAGTCACACAGCATAGGCTGGCTGGTCATCCCTCGCTTCGCCGATACACTGCCCTGGCGGGCTCAAAGGGTACCCTAAACTCTAAACCCTAAACCCTAAACCCTAAACCCTAAACCCTAAACCCTTAGGGTTCAGGGGAATTAGGGTTTAGGGGAAGCCTTGTTCGGCTTACGGGGCTTCGGGTTTCATGAAAGCCTCTAGGGCTGCCTAGCAATAGCACTTATTGCTACTCTAAACCCTAAACCTTAAACCCTAAACCCTAAACCCTAAACGGCCCTAAACCCTAGATTCTATCCACCCTAGAACAGCCAAAGCCCCACACCTTGAGAAGAAAGCCTTCAGGGTTCACATCCGGAGTCCGAAACCTTAAGCCCCTAAGCTCAGAACTCCCCACCTCATCACCCCGAAGGAACGAAGTCCTCGACAGCCTCCGAGACCCCAAACCCCAAAACCCCCGACGCCCCCAAGCATCCTCACACCCCTCACTCTGGTTCTGACCATTTAAGACCAGCCCCCCCTATTGCCCTAACCATGGAACTCCGAACCCTGACGCAAGAATCCTGAACCCCAAACCCTGATCCCCAAAGCGGGTTTAGGGTTTTGGGGGTTTAGGGGGTTTGGGTCTCAGACGATGAAGGGCTCCCAGGCCTAAATTATCAATATTCATCATATTTGCAACACTAAGAATCTGAACAATACTCAGAAAAGCATTATGAATAATGTTAAGAACATGACTCGTTGAGGTTTCGAGGGTCTTGGAGGGGTGAAGGGTGAGTAATTTAAGCGTTGGGGTGTTTTGAGGTTTTAGGTTTAGGGCTTTCGGCCTTATAGCAACTTGGAGTTTTCCAAAAGTTTATGGCTACAGGCTGACAATATACGTATGCTGTCGGGAGCACTGCTCCAGACCCATGAACAGCGAAAGCACGAAGACGATGATGACGTTACTTTGCTTCACCATCTGCAGAAAGGCAACGCTTGCCTTGGGGCAGGTGGCATGTATGCCGAACTGTGCAGGCCCTGTGCTAAAACCCTAAACCCCAAGCCCTAAACCCTATGGCTCAGGGTAGGGCAGGCCTGAAGGTGACATGTCCAGCATCTCACGGTCTGAGGGTTGAGAGTTTAGGGTTCGAGGCTTGGGCTCGGGATCGGAACTCCTGAAATTTTGGGTTTAGGGGTTATTGAGGACTTAGGGTTCGGGGGGTTGGGGTCCTGGTGTTCGGAGTCTTGGGGAGTGGCCCCTGCACAACAAGCTCTAAGCTAGTTGAAGACACGGTCCCAAACCCCAAGCCCAAAACCCTTACCCTTACCCTTACCCTAAACCCTAAACCCCTGAACCCTAAACCCCTGAAACCCCTGAAGCCCTTGAAGCTCCTGAAGCCCCTGGAAGCCCCTGAAGCCCCTGGAAGCCCCTGAAGCCCCGAATCTGGGTTGAGGCTTCAGAGGCTTTGGGGTTGAGGGTTCAGGGTTGAGGGTTTAGAGATTTTAGTTCTAGCCTACTGGTGCGGCCGGCAGTCGTACTGGTAGGCAGTGTTGCCTCAAGCCGCAAGGTGAGGGTGGGCGGAGAAACGGTTTGGGGTTAGAGTTTGGGGTTTAGGGTTTAGGGTTTGGGGTTTAGGGTTTAGGGCTTGGGGCTTAGGGTTTGGGGTTTGGGGCTTAAGGTTCTGGAGGGCCTCAACCCTAAGTCCGAAACCCTTCAAGGGATTAAGGTTCATTCGGGCGTCGAAGGGGGGCCTTTGGGAGCCTGTTGAGGATTTCCTCAGGGAATATTGGGGCCATTTTATGAGGGTCTAGGCTAGGCTTGACTTTGACTATGCAGTATACAGGGGCTTGGGGGGGGTTCAAGAATACGCGCCCTTGTTTTGGCACCCTTAACAATGAGGAACATACTGCAACAGAAAAAAACACAAAACATCCCCCAGCCTTTGAGGACCCCTAGACCCAAGTTCAGGTGTATTGAAGTTATTCAGGGTTCAGGTGCGGGGAAAGTGTCGGGGAAAGTCGAGGAGTTTTGTTTTGACTTCTCAATATTCTCAAGTTGCCGGGAGCTTGAGGGTTTAGGGTTTAGGGTTGAGGGTTGAGGGTTTAGGGTTTAGGGTTGAGGGCTTCTGGCGCAGCTCTGGGAGGTCTGCTTCCATCACCCCTACGGATTCAAAGGCCCCCCCCCAAGACCCAAACTGCGACAGCAAAGGCAGGACAACAAAATGAAGTTCTTCGACGCACTTCCTTGGAAACAGCCGCTTAGGCCTCAAAAGCTAAACCCAATGAGAATTGAGGATTTAAGGGATTTAGGTTTCGGGCCTAGGGCTTGGGGCTGAGGGTTGAGGGGAGAAAAGGAATTAGGGTTTGAGGTTTAGGGGATGGAGGCACGCAGAGTTTAGGGTTTGGGGGATTTAGGGTTAGGAGAGAGGGGTTATGGGATTTAGGGCTTAGGGTGTGGGGAGGGATGTGGCCCTAAACCCTAAACCTAAACATATTTTTTGACAGAGGGGGGGGGGATTTGGCCAACAGTCCCCGCCGCTGAGAATGAGTGATGTCACGAAGGCCAAGCCCACGGGCAGCACCCGCGTGAAGAAGCGTAGGTTGAGATCTGCCTCTTCAAGGTTAGGGCTTAGGGTTTAGGGTTTAGGGTTTAGGGTTTAGGGTTTAGGGTTTAGGGTTTAGGGTTTAGGGTTTAGCGTTTAGTGTTCGGATTGCTTTTCTATTATGAGCCCTTTTTGAATACTCCGTCAGGCTCCGCAACCACAAAAGGGCAGTGGGAATGCTTCGTGAAGCTTGGCAAGAGATGTGGTGGCTTCCGAGATGCGGGTACCGTATTGGGGGTCCCTATTTATGAGGAGATCCTATTATTTGGGGGGGGCCATCTTCGGGGTCCCCTATTTCGTAAGTTGAGTCCTGCGTTGGCTCTCAACTTTCCAGGTGCAGCACAGCGTGTTGTGTTGATAAGGGCTATCATAATCTAAGAAGTCAACATACCCCTTGGGCATACCCTTGAAAGAAACTAAGGGGTATGGCAATATCCTTCCTTAGACTCCCTGATAATTTCCGTTGCGGGGTCACAGCCAAAGGCGAGCCCTGCTGAAAAGCTTCCCTAAACCCCTGGGCTCCATGACTCCACGGTTGAGGGTCAAGCCCCTAACCCTCAAACCCTAAACCCCCTAAATCCCTGACCCCTTGAAACTTAAACCCCTGAAGCTCCTTCAGCCCCTTCTCCCTTAAAACCCTAGAACCCTAAACCCGAAACCCTAACCCCAAACCCTAAACCCTAAGAGCGCGAAGCTGCAAGCCCCCAGAAGCCTTCCGGCATGGATCTGTCAGGGCCGGGAAGAGGCCCGGCGCCACGAGGAGGAGGAGGGCGCTCAAGATGGAGCCACCTTGGAAATAGGGGTTTAGGGGTTTAGGGTTTAGGAGTGGTTTAGGTCCAGGTTATATCGGGTTTTGGGGTTTTGGGGGGGCTCTGCAGGCTTGAAGGTTCAGGGCTTTTGTCAGCAGAGGCTCAGGGTTTCAAGAAAACTTCAAGGGTTTAGGGTTTAGGGTTTAGGGTTTAGGGCTGAGGGTTGAGGGTCTGGCATTTTGGGGTTGGAGGGTTGAAGGGTTTGGAGGGCTTAAGGGCTTGGAGTTTGGCGCTCAGGGCGCGGGGCAGAGGGACTTAAGGGGCTTCGGGCTTTAGGGTTTAAG